TATTACCTTCTAGAAACAGCATAGCAAAACACAATTATATAGCTTGGAAAATGGCCCCAAAAATACCCCACCAAAAAAGAAGAAAAAAAGAAAAAATAGGTTTATGCATTGCAAAGTGGAGGTAAGGAGTCTTGAAACGACAGTTTTTATGTGGGCTGGCCCTGAAAGCCTGAACCAAAAAATCAATAATATCACAGCAATAAATGAATGCAGTATGAACTTATAACCTTACCCAAGACACATAAGATCAGGAAAATAGAGAGCGAGGACAAATGTTCTTGCTCAGCAGCCCCAACGGCAGGCAGATCAACACTGGACTGACAGGGGAGCGTCTCGTTGGAGGAATCTGTGTCCACAGTCCCCCTGAAAAAGCAAGGCACATTTTTTAGCATTACAACATGATCAAAAATAATGTTTATAGTCAGTTACATAACTTGAATTATGAACTCATTCTCACACATACATTCCTTAATTTTTTTTTTTTTTTTTTTTTTTTTTTTTTACTACTATTAGTATCTTCATAACATTTTAATAATCATAATATCAGTAATAATAAGTATAAAAAATTCTAAGGAATGGGGAATTCATTCGAGGTCATGATGATTAAGCCACTAATTAACTTCTTGATGGCTGAGCCCTTGTGGAGCCATTTGTTTGCAACAAAATTCACAATGGACTGTCCATATTCCTGCATACAAGGGGTGCTGGTGTGACATGTACTTACATGCTTTATCCACTAAGATTTTAGTCTACTAATTTTCCTTACACAAGAGGTTAGTCACCAAGGAGTCAATTACTAATCCTACTTGATTTAAATGGTTAAAATTTATTACTGCCTTTGTACTGATAATAACATTATAATAATTCACATGTCTAATAATAATATAAATAATTAAGCTATTAACAGAAATACAACTCTTAAAATTCAAGGGCAGATTATATCAAATGTGGTCAGGTACACCTACTGACTGACTCCTTAGTGACAAAGCACTTCTGGAACCATCTGTGTGAAAAAAAATTCACATAACAAAAATTACTGTAGACAGTGCAATTATGCCGTGCCAATGGATTAATATTAAACTGAAGCAGGACAATGAAGCACAAATAACTGGCTCAATAATGGTATGGTACATTAACAACTTATTACCCATCAGCCTCTGGTGCTTCTGGCTCTGCATCCTTGCTGCAGTGCTGGGGATAGAATGTAGTCAATTTGCTGTAATCTTCTACTGTTATGTTGCACACATTGTCGATACTGCTGTTCCCAACATGGAGTCCCAAATGAGGAGCTTCTGTTGTTGTAACTGCAGCTCCATCAGCAGAGATGCTGCTTCTGTTTCTTCCATCACCAGCCTGTTGAAAATAAAATGAAAATTATTTAAATACCAATTTACTACTCAAATAATTTCAACAATTAATGAGTAGATCTTGAAGATCAAACTGCATTATTTCTCTCAGTCTCATGGATGCACATGCAAGCACACATATGCATGCATGCACTAAATCCCTGACTACTGACCAGGCTTGGATCATTTTAAGTTTCAACTTCTCATTTCTCAAACTTAATTAAATATTCAAAGGTTTTTATGTATCACCAGAATCTATAAGCCCTAATAAACAATTTGCAGATAAGGTGAGTTTTGCACAAAAATATATGGTCAGTGTTTTCTGAAAAACAATGACCTACTAACTGACTGTCACTGACTAACTTCCAAAGGACCAATTTATAGAGTTTTTGGACATTGGTTCACTTAAAATCCATGGCTATTATAGTAATACCATTTCAAGTCTGAAAAGACAGCATTTTCTTCCCTGTATCTAAAGATGCAGGCTTGGTGAAATAAAACAATTTGAATTTGAATTTGTGTTTGTACGTGGGTCTGTCTGTGTGTTAAAGGAACAAGCTCGGAGTCAGTGCTCTGGGCAAAAATGGACCTGCATTGTCTATTTCTTGGAAGAAATCTTTCTAAATGCTTTCTGGTACTAGTATAACAGCCATGGATTTTAAGTGGATAAATATCCAAATCTCTATAATTCAGTCCTCTGGAAGTTGGTCAGTGACAGTCAGTCAGTCATTACTGACTGCATATTTTTGTACAAAAATCATTTGCCTGCAAATTGATTATTGGGTCCTACAGATTCCATTCATACATAAAAACCTTTGAACGTTTGATGAAGTTTGACAAAAGAAAAGATGTAAAAAATTATTCAAGCAGTCAGTGGTCTGTGGTCTGAGCTTTAGTGTGTGCCACTTATGCACACATCTACACATATACACTTATGCATATATAAGTATACATCTGAAAGAAACATAAAAGGAAAATCTGAAGCTACAGAGGAGTGTCTGTTCATATTGGTAACTTCTGAGTCTCAAATAGATTGAAAATGAATTTTTCATCTTAAATAATAATTATCGTCCGGTGAATGTACAATCAACACGCATTCATACTATGTTGATATTCTAAGAAAAAAAAAAATTGTTCTCTTAAAAACATTACCTACACAGCTCACCATTGTGAAAAGTATTGAGATATGTTTACCCCCCACAAAAAATCATGAAAAAATAACAATAAATCATAAAATTAATAGCAACAAAATAATACATATAAAATGACAATGAATAATAAGAATGTATGCGATACGGGTGATTCTTTACAAATCAGCCCCACTTGCAGAGACTAACACAAAAAAACAAAAACAAACCCTAACTGGGTCGTGGGTCGTGTTATCTGTCATGGTGTCAGTGCACTCGAGGGACAAGAAGTTCTGCATAGTTAATTGGTTAGATGACCCAGTTTCATAAATATTGAGACAGTAGGTTGTAAATACGAGGAAACCACTGCAGATTGAGGGTGTTTAATATCAAGTAAATGAGAGGATATTTGGAAATACTGTCAATATTGAGGTCATTCAGGACACCGAATTACGACTCTATAACCTTAATTTTCAAGGAGTCAGTCCATGAGAATTGGCGACTGGGGACAAACACTGCAACACTGACAAGGGCCCCCTTCAGCCAAGGCCCGGAAGGCGAAGTACCTGCGAGTCCGACGAGTTCCTGGGCGAGGGCTCGTTCACCTGCGCGCGAGGACCCGCCTCCAGGGCCTCCTCCCTCGCACTCTTCTCCGCCTCCTTTTCGCTGCTGCCTCCTGCATCCTGCCCGAGTGCCAAGCTACCACTTACTACCACTACTATGAGGAAGCTCCACCTCATGGTTCCACCTCATAGCCGAGAAATCATGAGGACTGAACGAGACTCCGGGCTTCCTACTCGCCACGTCGCACAGCGGGGATCGACTTCGAGGCAACTAACTTTCGCGTCAAGACCCGCTCGCGCGAGGCCACTTTCGCGGCGGTTTATTTTGGCGAACTTGGTCGGAATGTAGGTTACTCCATCAGCTTGAAGCTTTTTTCATGATTCTTAACTTATTTCACTAATTTAGCGGTCTAAAGTTTAGAATAGAGGGGGCAAAAAGGAATAAGAGCGGTATAGGAAAATAAGTTCACGGAGTTATTATAGGAAAACTATTTTCACATTTCCAGCAGAAAACCGCGTTTATGTATTTATTAACTGATTTATTGATTAATATTATTTTATTTTTTACTACTACTATTATTATGGTCATTATCATTGATAATATCATTACTCTTTAGTCATTATTTCTTCATAATTACTTCATAATTGGTTGATAGGCTTCTCATACATCAGTTTCATGAATAATCTCTGAAAATTATAATAATCACAACTTTATTGATGCTCATAACATAAAAATTATAATGATAATAATAGTAATCTTAACGATAATGATAATGTCGATAATAATGATAATGATAATGTCGATACTACAACTAAGTAGTTATTAACAACAATTACAATGATAATGAAATAATGATAAATAACAATGATATTATCAGAGATAATTAAAATCATAATCATAACAGTGATGCTGCTGCTGATAACGATAATGATAATAATGATGATAATAATAATGATAATAATAATAATGATGATAATAATTAATGAAATATTATCATCATTAATAATAGTAGTAATAATAATTATGATAATAATCCTAATGATATTGATAATGATAATAATCATAATAATATTGATAATGATAATAATGATAATAGTTATAATAACAACAAATATAATAATGATAATAATATGATAGTAATAATGATGATGATAATGATAATTATGATAAGAATTATAATAAAAATGACAATAAAAATCATAATAATAATGATGATGATGATGATAATAATGATAATAATCATGATAATAATAATGATAATAATAATAATGATGATGATAATAACAACAACAATAACAAAACAACAGTAATACTAACAATGATAATGATAATGAAATATTATTATTAGTAGTAATAGTAGTAATAATAATAATGATAATGATCATAATAATGATATTGATAATGCTAATAATGATAATAGTAATGATAACAACAAATATGATAATGATAATGATATAATAGTAATAATGATGATGATAATGATAATTATGATAAGAATCATAATAAAAATGACAATAAAAATCATAATAACAATGATGATGATGATGATAATAATAATAATAATGATAATAATAATAATAATAATAATAATGATAACAATAATATCAACATTAGTAATGGTAATAATAATGATACTAATAGTAGTAGTAGTAGTAATAATAATAATAATAATGATAATTCTAAGAATAATTTTAATGATGAAGTGATAGTAAGGATACAAACAATGAAATTAATAACAAAAATAATAATAACAATATTATTATGAAAACAATAACAATAATGACAATATTGATAATAATAATAACAAGAGTAATATTAATGATATTACTATTGCTAATAATAATAGTGATAACAATTATGATGATAATAGATAATAATAGAAATAATGAAGACAATAATGATAGCAATAACTACAATACTAATGATAATAATGATAGTCGAAATATCATTATAAGATAAAAATAGTAATAATTATAATCCCCTCTTACCATTGTTATTATCGTTATCATTGATATTACTACTATTGTTATCATTATTACTACTACTGTTATTATTATCACTCATATTGCTAACAATATTATCATTATCACTGTTTTTGCTATCGATATTATTGTTATCATTATGATTATCATTACTTTTATTATCATCATTACCATCATCATCGTCGTCGTCATCATCATCATCATCATCATCATCACCATTATTATTATTATTATTATTATTATTATTATTATTATTATTATTATTATTATTATCATTATTATTGTTATTATCATTGTGTTTGTTGTTGTTGTTATTATTACCATGAATATTATCCTTATCCTTATTCTTATTATCATCATTATACATTATTATCATAATTTCCATCATCATCATCATCATCATTATAATGATAATAATAATTATTATTATCCTTATCTTTATCTTTATCATCATTATTGTTTTATTATTATCATTATCATTATTAGTATTATTAGTATTATTAGTATAATTTTCATTATCATCATTATATTCATCATTATTATTAGTAGAAGTAGCAGTTGCAATCACTTGCAATTATCAGTGTTAATGTTATTATATTAATTACTAAGATTTTCATTATTATCACTATTATCATTATTATCATTAATAGAAATAGTAGTTTCAGCAGTATTATCATCATCATTATTATTCTTATTATCATTATCATTATATAAAATATCATTATCATCAATATCATTATCATTATTATTATCATTATTTTTATCACTATCATTATAGTTATCATTCTTATCTATTATAATTATCAAAATATTTATCATTATCATCATCATTATCATTAGTAGTAGCGTTAGTATTAACAGTACCAATAACACTGTTAGTGTTATTATAACTATTACTGTAAGTTTCATTATTATTATTATTCTTAATAGTAGTAGTACTATTATCATTGTTATTGAAATTACAATTATTATCAATATCATTATTACTATTATTATTATCATTATTATCATTATCAATATCATTACCATTATTATTCATATCATTATTATCATTATTATTATTATCATTTTTATTATTATTATTATTGTTATTATTATTATTATCATTATTACTATAATATACAATTATTGTTTTTACTCTCATTATTACTATTATTATTGATTTCATTATTATCATTATCAATATCATTACCAGTATAATTCATATAATTGTTATTATTATCATTATTATCATTATCATTATTACATATTACCATTATTATTATTATTATTATTATTATTATTATTATTATTATTATTATTATTATTATTATTATTATTATCATTATTATTATTATCATATAGTGCCACTGTTGTTGTTGTTGTTATTATTACATTTTATATTATTATTATCAACGATAATGATAATAATAATGACGATAATAATGACAATAATGAAGATGATAAAAATGATAATAAATGACGTTAATGATAACGACAATAATGAAAACATAATAACGCTACAAATAACGAAAATATGACAATTATGACGCTAATAATGACGACTATAATAAAGCTAATAATGATGACAATAATGACGACAATAATGAGGCTAATAATGACGGAAATGAATGAAAAGAATGAAGTTATTAATGGCGCAAATAATGACGACAGTAGTGACGATAATAATGAAGCTAATAATGACCCTAATAACAACGGAAATATTGGCGCAAATAATAACGGCAATAATAACGCTAATAAGGACGTTAATAACGCCGACATTAATGATACTAATAATGACGTTGACAATAATGAGGCTAATAATGACGACAACAATTACATTGATAATCACGACAATAATGACGCCAAAAGTGACAATAATGATGCTAATAATGACGCTAATATTGATGTTAATAATGACGGTAATAATGGCCAGATTAATGACCAGTAATGACACTAATAAAGACTCTAATAATGATGATTATAAAGAATCTAACAATGGCGCTAATAACGATACTTATAATGGCAGTGATAATATCCCTATATTACGGTAATAATGACGCTGATAATGACGCTAATAATGAGACTAATAATGGCGCTAATCAGAACGCTTACAATGACAATGATAATGACGCTAATGACGCAAATAATGATGGTAATAATGACAAAAATAACAATGATAATAATACTGATGACAATAAAAATGATGATAACAGTGAAAATAATATTGATAAAAAATACAACAATAATGATAATAACAGACAATAATGATGAAAATAAAAATGATGGTAATAAAGGTGATAATAATGACGAAAATAATAATAATAACGATAATAATACCAATAATAATATTATTATGAGAGTAATAATGGCGGCAATAACGACAATAATGACAATAATAATGACGACTATAATGATGATATAACAATTAGAATGACTGTAATAATAACAATAACAAAGACAATAATAATGACGATATAATAACTATAATCATAGAATTAATAATGACAGTAATGAAGACAATAATGACAATAATAATGATAAGGACGATAATTATAATAATAATAATAATCACGACAATAATCATAAAGTGAATGACAAAGACAATAAAGATGATATAATAATGACGATAATAATGGCAATAACAATAAAGATAATAAAGACGATAAAAGTAATGATAATCATAATAGCGACTACAATGACGATAATAATGAAGATAATACACATACATATATATCTATATATAGCCATATAGACAGCCATAATCACACATATCAATATATTTATATATGAATGAAGAAAACACCGTGTTGATAATATGGTAGAAAAACCCACAAAGTAATATATATATATATATATATATATATATATATATATATATATATATATATATATATATATATATATATATATATATATATATAAATACTATCTACATGCTAATGATTATATTTAATTTTATATATGTATATTAACGTTTATTCATATATATACATATATGTTAATGTTTATATTTATATACATATATATATGCATATATTGTATATGGGTCTCTCTTTCTATATATTTATATATGGTAGGGCGCCTAACCGCGGTTGATTAGGAAGGGTATCCATTTAGGTAAGGGTGGTACTGCCAAATAAAGAAACATTTATGTACATAAATATATATATATATATATATATATATATATATATATATATATATATATATATATATATACATATATCTATGTGTGTGTGTGTGTGTGTGTGTGTGTGTGTGCGCGCGTGTGTGTATATATATATATATATATATATATATA